GCTAATTGGGATTATATGTTAAAGTGTAGTAGGAGATAGATTAAGCCAGAGGATCGAGATAGAATTCAAAAGATTTTTACAGTGCTAAAAAGATGATGAGGCGCTTCAGTTTGGGTTATAAGAAGTATGATGTTTGTATTAATAACTGCTTCTTGTATTATAGTGAATATGAAAATAAAAACTACATCGCATGTCCAATATGTGATGAACCTCGTTATAAACAGGGACATGGGCAACAAAATCAACATATACCAAGGAAGTCATTATGGTATCTCCCAATTACATCTAGACTCAAAAGGTTGTACATGTGTAGAAAAACTGCTGAACACATGGTATGGCACCTGACTTGTGGTGGTGTATCTGAAAAGATTGTGCATCCTACCGATGTTGAGGAATGGAAACACTTTGATCGCACCTACCTTGACTTTGCATCAAATCCAAGGAATGTAAGGTTTGGATTGTGCACAGATGGGTTCACTCCATTTGGACATACATCAGCCCCGTATTCATGTTAGCCTGTATTTTTGGTTGTCTACAACCTACCTCAATCAATGTGTATGAAACTAGAATCCATCTTTCTTTCTCTAATAATACAAGGCCCTCAAAGTCTTGGAAAAAACATTGATGTTATACTACGACCACTGGTTGATGAATTAAAGGAACTTTGATATAATGGGGTGAAGACATATGATAGTTTTAGGCATGAACATTTCATTATGAAAGCAGCACTTATGTGGACAATTACTGACTTCCCTAGATATGGTATGTTATCTAGATGGAGCACACACGATAGATTGTCATGTCTGTATTGTCAAGAAAATTCTAAGGCATTCCACCTTCCAAATGGTTAGAAGATATCATTTTTTGATTATCACCGATAGTTTTTACCTCCTGATCATCCATTCAGGAGAAATAGAAGTGATTTTAAAAAAGGCCATGTGGAGAATCTTGCTCCACTAGAGAGATTGTTGGGTGATGATTTGTATCGACAAATTCAGCAATTGCTCAATATACTATTTGGGAAGCCATCCCAAAGGCAAGTGATCGAAGGATTCGGTAATTGGCATAATTGGGTTAAAAGAAGTATCTTTTGGGAGCTTTCTTATTGGAGCACAAACTTAATCCGTCATAACCTTGATGTAATGCACTGTGAGAAATTTTTTTTTTGATAATATCTTTCACACCATCATGGATGACCCATTGACAAAGGACAACTTGAAGGCAATGATGGATATGGAATTGTATTGCAATAGGCCAAGTCTTTGTATACCAGAAAGAGGCTCTAATGCTGGTAAAAAACCGAATGCCACTATTGTCTTAAACAGGGAGCAAAGAAAATATGTGTGCTAATGGCTAAAGAATCTTAGATTTCATAATGGTTTTGCATCCAACATGTCTCGGTGTGTGAATATGCAAGAGGCGAAAGTTAATGGGATGAAGAGTCATGATTGTCACATATTCATGCAAAGTCTCTTTCCAATTGCATTCCGTGATTTTCTCCCAAAGCAAGTTTGGTAAGTACTTATTGAGATTAGTGAGATTTTTAGAGCCTTATGTTCTCCAACCATTTGGGTTACAAATATGGAGATTTGGCATGGGAAGATTGTAGAAACAATATGCCAACTTGAAAGAATCTTCCCTCTTTTTTTTTATTCGATGGAGCATTTAGCAATCCACCTTCCATATGAAGTCAAGGTGGGGGGGGCCATTGCAATTCCGTTGGATGTATCCATTTGAGAGGTATTATTCAAATAGTAAATTTTGTTTAATATTTTAGCTCTATATTATAAAATTTAATCTTCTTTTTAATTTATTAATTATTTAAATTTATTTTCATGAAATAGACAAATGCATGGATTGAAGAGTTTGGTGAAAAATAAAGCCTGTCCAGAAGGATCAATATGCGAGAATTATATAATGAGTGAGATCTAATACTTTATCTCACTTTATTTTCAAGGATAAGTTGAGACAAGAGGTGATCGCATCCTCAGAAATGTTGTTAGCTTAAGCCCTTCTGTTAATATTGGCCTTTCAATTTTCAATAATCTTGGAAAACCAATTGGTTCTCTACAACAACAACGAGTGTTGATAACAGAAGAGCATAATGCTGCAATGTAT